AGAAAAGTAGGTTTGTGGTTTTAGTATCTCCTTTCAATAGTATATTAATGTATTTTAGCATAGTTATACTAAAGAAATCATTCAGCCTCTGAGCTGAGTCAGACATCAGCATTCCTTCCCACCGGGCTCACCTGCATTTCCAACACCAAGGCTCTGCTCAGGGCTGATAAGGCAGAGATAAGGAGAGATAAGGCTGGGCCACCTCAGGCAGCCAGGGCAGAGCAGGAGTGGCAGCTTGGGCTGCTCAGGGGGATTGGGAGTTCAGGTGGCAGCAGGACAAGTGTCTGCAAGGACATCATGGCACAGGTGCCAGAGCAGCCAGGGCTGCCCCTGGATCCCTGGCAGTGCCCAGGGCCAGGTTGGACACTGGGGCTGGAGCAGCTGGCACAGTGGAAGGTGTCCCTGCCCCACAGCCTTGGACACCTCCAGGATTTGGGGGCTGCTAAAATCACCCCAGATGTGGTTTTTTATGCTGACGTGCACTTTGGCTTGCTGCAGAAACCTTCCTGCCCACGCCCAGGAAGGCTTTGGTAGGTGAAAGGCCTCTTCCCCTGCCACAGCTTCCCTGAGAGCCCCGTGAGCCAGGCCTGGGGACGAGGGGCAGCCTCTGCCTGTCCCCACATGGGCTGTGTGCCCACAAATTTAGAGGAGGAGCAGTCATTTAGAGGGAAGCAGCAATTGCCAGGAGAGTTCATCTTGAGCTGAGCTTCTGGACCTTACCATGACAAGTCAATAAATCAGGTGAACTTTAACCGTGTGCTGATGTCAACTGAAAGTACAGAGCGATGCTGGAGGCTGCTCACTCTGGCACAGCGTGTGTGGCAAAGCCACAAAGAAAACAGATCCCTTGAAGGCCTGGGAGTGCTTGGAAAAAGATTTCAGACCTGGAATGCAAAGTGGAACAATTAAGGAATAGGGAAGTGGGGAAAACTGAAGGAGAAGAGTCTGAGCTTGTGGTTGGTAAAACAGATTCCAGGAGAGGGCAGTGAGGGAGGGCAGACAGGAACAGGTCAGGGAATTCCAGTCATGGCAGTGGAGGGAGAAAGAGGACCCAGAGCCCAGGACCAACAGTCACTCCCAGCTCCACATTTTTGTCCCTCTCTATTTCCTGTTGGGAACTTTGGGGTCTTTTCTGCCCAGCAGGTCCCCCCCAGTCCAGAATGAGTCCAACTGAACAGCAGAGCCAGAGAGGCTTTCAGAAAAATCCATCCCAAGCTCTAGAAAAGCTTTTAAATTGATCCTTAACCAGAAACACTTGTGCTTGTACCTCATGCTTTTTTCTCCCTGATGCAGAGTCAGAAAGATCCATTATCACCTGGCAAAATGTCATTTTCTAGGATTCATCATCCTAGAAAAGTATCACTGAATAAGTGGGATGCAGAGCAAGGCTCTTCCCTTGAGATTGTGCTGCTGTGGAAAACAGGGCTGCAAAGAGCTGCTTTCCAGGCAGAGCTGTGAAAGCCCACAGGACCACCTGTGAGCAGTCTACTGGAAATGTCCCTTCCTTAGGGACTGGAGTTCCTGAAATTCATTGACACCGGGGGCATGGAATGATGATGGCATCACAAGGACAGAGAGAAGCCCCTGGGGAAGCCTGAGAGGGGAAATCCTCGCTCCAGCATCACCCATGAGCATCACCAGCCCCAGGATTCCCCACTGGAGAAAGCACCAAAGAATCTGATGAACAACTTCCAGTTTTTCCATTTTCCCATCACCTCTGCCAGCAGCCACTCAACTCTCTAATTTCCACTCCCCCCTCTCTGCTCTGGTTCTGTGGCAGTTTTTGAAACCAAGTTACAGTTCCTCAGAGAGCGCCTTGGTTTTCCCAGCTGGGCGAATGTCCTGACAAGAGGATTTGCAGTGGGTTGGATTTTCAGCCCAAAGGTGAAACCGGGGTCTGGAACTCCCCTGAACAGGGCAGAACTCACTGATCACTGAGAAATTCCAACCTGGAGAGGAGCAGCTCCAGGGAGAGCTCAGAGCCCTGCCAGGGCCTGGAGGGGCTCCAGGAGAGCTGCAGAGGGACTGGGGACAAGGATGGAGGGACAGGAGCCAGGGAATGGCTCCCACTGCCAGAGGGCAGGGCTGGGTGGGAGATTGGGAATTGGGAATTGTTCCCTGGCAGGGTGGGCAGGGCTGGGATGGAATTCCCAGATTCCCCTGGATCCCTGGAAGTGTCCCAGGCCAGGTTGGACACTGGGGCTGGAGCAGCCTGGCACAGTGGGAGGTGTCCCTGCCATGGCAGGGGTGGCACTGGGTGGGATTTGAGGTCCTTCCAACCCAAACCTGTCTGGGATTCCAAACATTCTCTGTGAAGACAGAAGTCACAGATGTGTTCAAAATTACATATATTGAAGCACCACAGGCTGTATAAAGAGGTTTATGCCAGGCTTTCCTCATTCTTCCAGCCCGGTCAATGCTACCTAGGACACTTCTGTCCTTCCAAACCTAATCCCAGGACCATCAGGGCTGGAAGAACCCTTGGGGATCATCCAGTCCCACCTCAGCACCAGCATCACCCCAAACCCTGTCCCCAGGGGCCACATGCAAACCTCTGGGACACTTCCAGAGACTGAGTCCAAACCTCCCTGGGCAAATCATTCCAATGCCTGACCCCAAAGAGAATCCTTGCTGCTCTTCAGCACTGCTGAGGCCTTGTGGAGAGCTGTAAGCAGGCCTGGGGAGGACAAGGAACAGAGAGGAGATGTCGTCATGTGTCTGGGGAAAGAAGTCTGATGGCAGGGTAATGAGAAACTAAAAATGGGAAAGGCTTCTGAGGGCAGGGAATGAATCACCTGTGCTCCGTGTCCCTGAGGGAGCTGGAAGCAGTTACTGCAATAAAACAGAGACCAGGGAAGTTTTCTAATGCTGAAACACCAATAAACCCCCCAGGTGATATTGCTGAGGAGGGGGACATTACAAAAATCCGTTGGAAGGGGTAGATAGATCCGATCCCCCCTTGGGCTCCCTGGGGTCCTTCCTTCCTTCCTGGACCTCTGTTTCTACACTGTTCACACAAGATGAAATGCTGTATTTGCCCTTCATGCTGTTCCAGAGCTGACATGAGAAGAAACCACCAAATTGTGTCTCCTTTGTGTGTAAGCCAACAGAAACAAACCCAGCAGAGCCCAAACTCCAGCAGGCCTCGTTTCCTCCACCACAGGAGCGGCTTGGGACACACATCAATGGCCACAGGGACACACACCATCCTCTCCTGGCTGCCTGTGCTCTGCAGATAGCACTGCTCTCCTATGGCCAGTTCTGCTCCTTTCTTCTACCACATCGGTGAGGAAGTTGCATTCAAACTCAGCAGGAGATAAACTGCAAATATTTCCTAGGTTATGAAATGTTTCTAGCAGTGCCAGACTGGTTCAGCAGTTTCAGTTCAAAATGGTTACCCTGAGGTGTGGTTACACCAAGAAATGCCACAATCGTGTTTCCTTATCAGCTGTGGGGCAGGAGGTCACAACGCCCACAGGTCGAGTCTGGCTCAGGCTCAGCAGTGCCCTGCAACACGCTGGGCAATGCCCCCACACGCTGCTGG